AATATTCTGACAGGCAGGATTAATTGAGCGGCAAAAACCAAACTTTTGAAGCATAACAGAGAATGTTCAAGCTGTAACAGAACTCTTTCATAACGACTTTGTTATAACTAAGCGTGAATGGATATATGACGGCAAAATAATTTAATCAGGATTGGAGTAAATGAAGGCCATCTCTGAGACATGCATAATAATGTAACAAAGGGACTCTTCCATAAGAAGATGCTTTTAACACGATGTTTTGTAACCGATGCCCTGGGGCCTGTTACGATCGAATGATTTAAAAGCCAGGCTTTTCTTCTCATTAGATTAATTTATGTTTTCAGCTCTCTTATACTGGCCCTGTGCATGTATTCTCTGTGTTTAATTGGCTCCTCTTGACAGAGATATCACATTGGCAGCAGGTTATCATTGCACAAGAAAGAGATAAGGATCTGGTGTGTCAGTTGGCTTTGCAGAGTGAGGTGAACTTTCAGGTACTAAATTTGCTTTGCAATGCCTCATTTAAGTGAGCCTCACGTCTGTTTTGTTTGTCTTACGGCATATCATGAACTTTCTACTCACTGTTTTAGAGACCAGCGCCAAAGAGAAATACAAGTCCTGATTATGTTTGGTCATAGCAGTGGAACGAAAATATAGCCCCGCTAGAAATTCAGGTATTTCTCCTGTGTGATTTACTTACAGGGTAAACCTATCTTTAGTAACAACGGTTAAAAGAGGACAAACAGGCTTAAGAAAAGTAAGACCAAGGCTTTACTTGGTGTAAAACATGTTTATTTCCTACAAAAGCCTAAAAATATCCAAGACAAGCCAGGAATATGAGTAGCTAAATAACTGTGTAAAATTGTCACCAATACTTATGTAAATTAAAGGTTGATAAACTTAATCAGAAGATCTATACATTTAAGAATCTGGCTGTATAGCCTAAGTAAAATGTTTCATTTGCATTTCTCCAGAAATGCAAAGTTATATTATTTTTAATATAAGGGAATGCTTTAGAAATAAAAACTCAACCACCATGTTTCAAACAATTATCTTTTTGTTTTTGCACTTGTTTTTTCCCAAGTACGCCAATACTTGGGGAGAAAAACAAGTACCGGGTTATTTGGTAATAGAGAAATACGGCTTATACTACAAGAAGAAACATAACTTAAGGCACAATTTAATATGCATAGAGCATTTGTTTCTTTACCATGACTTAAAACCGAGAAAATTGACTACATTTACAATTAGTGGCCATTTTGTGACCATTGAAATATGTTTTTCCTAACATATAATGCTATTTGTGCGAGAGGGATGACTGCTAAATAGGATGACCTCTTATAACGTGTCAAAGATACAAAATAACTTGTTATAGCAGAGAATCTGTAAGAACAAACACTGTAGAGAAGAGCTAATTCAGTAGAACCATTTGCGGAGCATTGTCATGTTTTTGTTTTTTTTTAACTTTTATATGTTAGTTCAGCCTTATGTTTACATTTTTGACAGGATTTTTTTTGCCTATTTCTCTTGCTTATTTTTAGACTTGCACCGGTCAATCGGCAGTGCTCAGAAATCAGCAGACATTCACGTGATCGGCCACGTTCGCTGACTGGCCCAATTATTATGAAGACCACCGATTTTAATCCCCCCGGTCATTGTGTTGTTGATGAGTTTTTCTCTGGGCAGCTTGCTAGCAAGGCTAACTGGCCAGGAGTCGAACAGCAGTACTTTGGCAGAAGCCAGCGAGGGGGAATTAGCAACGAGAGGCTATGGCTAGCCAAGGCTAACCTCTAAAAGCTGACTGCAGGAGATGGAGGTAGGACCACATAACAGTCCTTCTAAGGCGAAATTAAAACTTTTTTTTTTTTTAAAGCCGCCTATTAAACTCTTAAGATCATTGTCGTTTCATCCTTTGTTAACATTATTTTCTCTATCAGTATTTTGATTAAAAATGTTAATTTCTGCAGCCTCCTACACTAAAACAGTCGTCAGTTTATGATACTTTCTCATCTCCTATAATTTTGATACCTAATAATACAATGTCGATGAACATAAGACAGCAGTTGAAGCATTTATGGATTTGATGCTGTGATCGGCAAATACTGATTTTTGTGATCGGGGATCGGGGCTAGGCTCCCAAAATCCTGATCTGACAACAAATGAACAATACTACCTCACTGTGCTTGCGCGTAATATGTTACTATGTGACCCACCCACAACCCTGTCTATTTATTAATATTCAATGAAATGTATGACTTTGAACACCACGACCTCCCTCACAGCAAATCCACACTTTGGACATTAATTTAAACATAAACAGATACTTCCTAGTGTGAGTTCCTAACACGTCACCTGTTATTATTAGACATGTATATTCCTTATTTGTCCTGTTACCTCTTTATATTTTATCTTTTCAATCTTTTTTATATGTTTAATACTAGTTATATTCTTGTTAAATTTCTTTACGTACAATAATTCCAATGTGTCTGGACTGTGGTCTGTCACAAATGGCTAATAAAAATGTTGAGATAGGTTCCCAAACATTCCTCTCTTAGTCAGAGCTTTCAGTGATTAGAGGATTCACTTCACCTGTGTTTCCCTTATTACCTGCACCTGTGTTATCCTCTATTTTAGTTGCCATTCCCCCCTTGTTTTGCTGGCTAATCTGCTTTATTCCCATGTTACAGACAGCTTTTTAGGTACTTCATTATTGTTTGCTTGCCTGCTCAACCCCCTGCCCTAAGTACCTTTTGTTAATAAATCTCAAAAATCTTTATAATGCTGCTCCATTCTGGTTTTCTGCACAATAGTCCACAAACCCACAACCACACCCTGACAAGCACACCTACAACAAACAACTACTTCAAACTGATGTTCATCCCCTTGGATAACAGGGTGGATTTCTAACAGCTTAATGTTCAAAGGAACTCTGAACACATGCAAGTAAGCAACTACTATCATTTCTTTTTGAGACATCTTTGTGAAAGTAAAACTGAATACAGGAATCCAAGGGGCTGAAAAGGAAGCTAGAACCAGCTTCACAATGATGTACCAGCATTAAAAATATATATTTCAAAGGTCCATTCAGACTGAGTACAGTGTCAACGGCAAGGGAGGAGGATTTACATAGTACTTCTATGCAAAATAGGGTAACGGCACGTCCAAACTGAAGTAATTACTAAATATTAAACAATATTTCCAGCCACTAAATAAGGTAAACATGTCTACTGTTATATTCAATACAAGCAAAGGGATGTCATGTTATGCAATAACTTTATATCAGGAAATGAGCGCAACGTCTGCTGCGATGGCGACATCATCGGCCGTAATTAAAAATGATTTTATCATAAAAAACAAATAAGCACAAATGACAGTTTTATCTGCACAAACCTGCACTAAGGTAGCAATAACCATTCAGTCTATTTGCTAAGTTTTTTCACGTGGGTAGGGTGTCAGCATGACACAGCTGAAGCTCCTCTTATTTGATGACGTGTTCCTGGGTGTGAACACTGCATTTGAAATGCAGAGTGGTGAACTTGCTGTGGCGCTCCCAGAAATCACTGAATGCCCCTTCAGACAGTGGTGTATGTCAGGTTAAAACCCAAACTGCAATGCAGTGACTATCAAATCCCTACGGCTCGTACCCCGGCTGGTTACTAATTCATAAAGAAGAGATTATATGAACGAAAGGTTCAAACTTATCTCTAAATCTGCTATTACACATAATTTCTTACCTTGCTGTGCATCAGTGCTCTGCAGAGGAAAGCACTTGGGTTGAATTTGTAATGTGATTTTGCACATGAGAGGTATTTTCTATGTAGAGTGTAAGGTGCAGTGTTTAAGTGATGTGTATCTATTGACCTGTCCAACAACCGTTTAAGTTTGGATTAAGATCAGATTGTGAATGTAAGTGTGAAATGGGTAGGAGGGTAATGCCACTGCATAAGTACTGAAACACAATTTAAACACATTTGTCTGATAGGATGGGCTAGAGAAGTCTCCTCTGCTCACAAAGAAAAAATGTTTCATTTCATTATATCTTTTCGATGTATATATAATGAAACAAATAATAATAATCAACTATAAAAAAATAATAAAAAAAATAGTTGACAATGTCAGACAGGCAGTCATACCGCATTTATACAGTAATTATCTTGCTGACTGCTTCTCATTTTCTGCCTTATAAACTAGTCATCTCATACTTCAACCTTTCTCTTGCTTTTATCTGCCTTTCCAGCAGCCCTTCTCTCCTTAAAACTCTGCCGATCTCGCTTTTTCTGCCTCGTTACCCTGCCATTTCTGTCAAAACCTTCCCACGCTCTCTTCTCTACACTTCTGGCACTCTCACCTCTTCTCATCCTTATTGAGGTCCATGCCTCTCTAATCTTTGTTCCTGCCAGACAGCATATTCTGGGTTATATATAAGTTAACAAAAGGCCATCTAAAGGTCAAGTAGTTTAAATGTGGGATAGATTTATCTACCGGAAGATCTACAAGCTATTCAAAATCCTGATCGTGATTGCATGCTTATGAAAGAAAGACAGATAAAGAAAATAGAGAGAAGGTGAAACTACCGACACATGAAGCTTGAATGATTGATAAGCTTGAGTTAAAGACAAGCACTCCATTGTGTCAAGAACTGTGATTAAGAGAGAGGGGAAAAAAGCTCCACTGGTTCCTATCAAACACACACAGGCATACAAGCCCTCTTTCTTTCAGCAAGGTATAAACATCACCTCTGACAGTTAAAGAGTCAGATATTGCTTCAGCGTGACAGCTCAGGTCTCTACAGGACAGACAGGCAGGAAACTTCACCATACAACTTGTGACTGCCTCAGTTTGCCATAGGTGTCTGTCCCATCCACTGTCAAACGTTCACCTGAAATACATTATCCTACCTTTTATCTTTTTTCTTCAAATGTAGCTTTAAATTACAGAGGGTAATACTATAAATAATAACACATATCAATAAATTTGTGCTGACCTTATGAAACAAATGTAGTGCTAGTGAAGTTATTTACCCATTCCGCTGTGTCTGTTGTTCTCTGCTTCATCCAATTTGAGGTTTAGGGCCGATTCGCTGTCTGACCTGGAGCTGCTGTCTGAATTCGCCCCTTTATATGGTTGGTTGGCCGTTGTGCTGGACTTTTTTGTTGCAGGCTCAACTTGCAGAGAGCTTTCGGCTGTGCTACTGGTGCTGCAGCGGGAACCAGCCTGGTCGAGGTCGACATCTGAGTCATCAAGGCTGCGGCTGAGCTCAGAGCTGGAGTCCTGCACAGCCAGGCTGTCTGAGGTGCTGCTGCTCGGGGTTGGAGAACTGGGGGATGGAGAGGTCAGGGGTGGAGTGGCGTCGCGCACAGGTGGAGGCTTAGGTGCTGTTTTACCAGGAGGTGCTTCTGCTGCCTGTATGATCACAGAGGCATCAGAGAACTTGGGGGGTGGCGGCGTCTTGGTGCGGGGAACTGGGGTAGGAATTACACTGCCCTGAGGATTGGAAATGGAAACAGGTGCAGAACTATCATCGGAGTCCTGGGCTAAAGAAGAGGGAGTGGGTGGCGGAGGGGGAGCCTTTCGCTTCCTTTGGCCTTCTGAACCGGGAACCTCCTGACAGAAAATAAAAGAAGGAAGGTTGTAGAAGTTATATTATGCTAAATCTATCCACGTACAATGCCTCACAATAAACATAAATCAACAACATTATGGGATTTTATATCATACAAAATAGAAGTACATAACTGTAAGGTACAACGAAAGTCATACAAAGTGGACTGTGCATTATATTTTGATCAGGTTTGCAAACCTGAAGACATAAAAATTTGCATTTCTTGCAGAGGAGGTCAAAGTCAGATTGGACAGAGAGCATCTAAAAATCATTCATGTTAAAGATTCACATATATAAAATTGAATAAGTCATGTTTTGTCATTGTAACTGAAACATGTGGACAGATCTCTAAGAGATATGAATGCTTTCTGCAAGTCACCGTATGCATGTCTGGTTTAAGCATAGATTATTCAGTATAATTGAATCTGTCAGGACTAAAACAAGCTAACAGCAAAGTAATCAAATTGAGTGGAATGCTGGCAGAGGTCTGAGACTTCAAACCATTAGAGTGACAACTTTCCTTTTTTTAACTGAAAACATCTAAGGTCTCCAAACAATTCATTTAACCTGCTCTTGTGGTATTGTGAGAGAGTAGCAGTCTGTGCTTTTTACAGGGATATTTCTTGGGTTCTATCTTAGAAAAAACATCAATAGAGAAAAACACACACTGCCTGTATAAATCACCAATAAACGGGTATCATCCTAAAAGAAAATGCCACAAAGTTTATGGATGGATGGATGGATGTAAGGACGGATCATGTGTTTTGTCTGACAGCAAGTAGAAAATTCTGTTAAACTAAAAAGTTCTAAATTATCTCTTTTTTTGTACTCTGATGAAGCTGCTCTTTAAAAGTGCGTCTCCCTCTCTTTATGAGACCACTGCCTGAAGATTTTGGATTGTTGTGGTAAGATAAGCTTAAAAACTATAAAAAAAACAAAAAAAAAAACCTTCCAAATAGCACTTGCCTTCTATTTCGGCTCTCTCAGAAATTCAGCAGAGAACATGCCCAGAGTTGCATATAGGGTTGCATCATTCAACAGGGCAGAAAAGAGATCAGGCCAACTTGTCTTTCTGCAGGTGCAGAGGGTTCACACACAAACTCAGTGAACCCAATGCATGGCATTCTATAGAAAGCCATACCCCCCCACCACACTAACACACTCCACGTCGTTTTCCTCACAGCTCTCCTGCCTCACTTCCAACCCACTATTCATATATACATGAATACAAACACAGCCGTGGAAATGGGCCAAAGTTGAGCTGCAATGGATGATTGACTTGCCTTGGAAGATGGATGCCTATGTGTAAGAAGGCTCACGTTGTGTGTGTGTGTGTGTGGACATGGATATATTTCTATATGTATATGGGAATGTGTGTTTGTTTTCCCTGCAGAGTAAAACTGCAGTGAACCCTGTGCTATGAAAAGAAGACTGCAGAGGCTTTAACTGACCAGCAGATGCATACCCACTCTCATTATAATCGCAATGGCTTGAACTGCACAGTATAGATAGGATTGTTGGGTCTGTTAAATCTGTATTGCTCTCTTGAGCTTATGGCGCCATGACTGGGATTGCAGCATGCACTTATGAGGAAGGAACTGAAGATAAGGCTTCAAGCTATATTAAGCCACATTCAAAGCAATCTATACCCTCAAAAGAACTAGCTATCAGTTCTAAGTCCTTTTTATGTGCTTTAGTTGGGTAGGTCACAGTTTAGAGAGATACGTACATTAAACTGTATATACCACAAAGCTGTTCTGTTTAGTTTCATTCAAGAGACTTGTTTTCAATGATAATGCAGAACTTCCCTTTTCAGAGAGAAAAAACATTGACAGAAAAACTGCAACTGCTATAAATAGAAGTCTCTATATCAATGTGAATGAGAGAAAATATATTCAATATAATCTTTGTAAAAAGATAAAAACTCCAGCCATCTAAATCCCAAAGGTTACAAAAAAGGAAATAAGAGGCATTGTTTTTTTTCACTTCTAACTTAAAAAACTAAAGGGAAAGTGTTCAGCTCTAAGCAAGACTCTAAAGTCTTACCAAAGTATACATTCTGCATTTACTTGATATGATTTTTTGTTTTGTTTTTTTGCAGTAAAGTGACACACACAAACCTAAATGTGAAATGTGAGTGAAATACCAACATAAAACCACATAAATAGGTTAGGTGGAAGAAAAAAATGAGCAAGTTTTCCGACCAAATCATCATGCTTGGTGGGTATTATTCATTAACAACTCTGCAGAAAAAATGGATTGTAACTTTAGCTTTCAATTTAAGGTTGCTGTCTGGAGGATGAAGGGCAAACTCTACCCTATTCTAAAGTTTCCAACTTTCCCTCAATGCTAATTAATCTCCTGTCCCCTTTTAGGAAAAAAAAGGACCCCACTAAATGATGTTGCCACCACTAGGTTTCATTGTGCAGATGCTGTTTTTCGGAAGGTGCGTACTTCTACTTTACACATTTGATGGTGCCTTTTATCAATTAATCCTCTATAACAATCCTCACACACAGGTGGTCTCTTCTGGATAATTCAATGATCCCTGATGATAAACTTAACAATATTCACAGTTCAGACTTCTCCTTTTTAATAGCAAAAAGCAAACAAACAACTAAGATGTATTCCTTTCCTTTCACAAACCAGTGCACCAGTCGGTGTTTATGTATCACACAACACCCCTAAATTACTTTAAAGTCTGTTGTTATAAAAGTGGAATGTAAGAAATTTCAGTGGTAAGGCTACTTTTACAAGCCACTGTAGATGTAACAGGACTCCTGCGAACTAATCAAAGCTTCTTAGGTCAGTAAAATAGAAATAGAAAGAAAACGTAAAAAAACAACAATAAAATAAAGTGAACTAGTGTCTGCTGGTATGTCTTTTTGATTTTTTTTCACTTTGTAGTAGTCTAAGGGCTCCCTCTTTGAACAAACAAACCTGGGCGAGTTACCATTCAACAGTTGCAGATAAGGGTCTTTTTTTAAGAGAGAGACATTACAGCACTAATGAGGAATGTGAGTATGCCAAACACGAAGGACTCCAATGTAATAAACACCCTCCAAGCAGCAGGCTAGAGGACAGCTGCCATGTGCTTTTGTGTCACTGTTATGATAAAGATGTAGGGGTGTGAATGTAGGATGAAAAGAGGTTTCATGTGAAGGTTTTAACAATGTGTGCCAGTAAGGGGTGAGGGTAGGGTTAAAGGGTGAAGAAATGGATCAGGCGACACATAGCTGACCCAGTTTCATTGTTGTTCAACTTGTTCTACTGACTTCCTAATATTCAAAGTTTTCCTTACCGCTTTCCTTTCTTCAACAGGTGAAATAATACGTTTTAAAAGACTGTATAAAAAACATAGCAGGGAGGAAATTAAGCCAATAGGTAATCTTAATGTAACCAAAACATGAGCTATAGTCAGTAACAACCCATCTAACCAAAAAGTATATTGGTTAACTAGTTACCTGGTTAGCTGCTTTGAACCCAACATGAACATTCATGTGTATTCATTTGTCTAATCTGCCCTAGCTGATTTTATACAATCGTTTTTGAACAGTCCAAACAGAGCTTGTCCTGCAAAGGAGGGGCCAGGTTCCCCTAATCCTGGCCCCTTCCCTGCCTCTCACAACCGTCAAGGACTATGCACAAGCAGAGAAAGCTCACAGTATTTTCTCTTAATGAACGCTGGACCTCCTTTTCTATCATATTACAGACTTCAGCTTCAAACTAACCCATAATAAGAGGATTTAGGTTTGGTTGATGGTTTCACAAAGTACAATGCTGTACGTAAGTCTGGACACAACTAATAAGACAAAACTAAAATTTACCCACCATAAATATGTCATATCACAAAATTTTTATATATTTTGAATTGTAGACTTTCTGAAAGGCTATTTCCTGCGTTTTGAGGTGGAATGCAGCTAACTTTTTGTCTTTGTTACAAAACTATGTTTGTCCTGATTGTGGGAAGTATGTGTGCTTGACTAGAGGTGGAACTTTCATAAGGAAGACATGAGATAATTTTCTGGTACAACATTATGTTTCATAGGTTAATTCAAACAATCCGAAATTGTAATGCAACATTGTGTTTTGAGCGGCTAAAAAGCACCTGCAAAACTGGGGTGTAACCCGCCTTACGCTCATAGACTGCCAAAGATTGGCACCGGCCACACCGCAACTCTGACAGGATTAGCAGGAGAAGACAGATGGCTGCATGAAAGTTTGTTGTTGTACTGTGACAAAATGTGAAAAACTTAAAAGAGATATGACCATTTACACATTGAAGTTGGTATAATGTACGTCTGTACACAGAGAAAACAAGAGAAAATGTGAAGAATCCTACAGGAGAATGTGACATGCAGTTTGATCTGTGGGAGCAAAAAACCTGCTGTTTTCAGCTGTAGCACTATCCAACCAAAACAAGAGTTACAGAATAGAGACAGATACAGACAGGATCACACAAAGAGAGTGCTGCCTGTTGGTTTTGGCACCGCTGAACGTCTTTTTCTAGCACATCCAACTGATTTGGAAAAAAAATGTTTTGTTTCCAAAACATTTTTGGGGTGATACTATAGCCAGAGGGCAGGTGGATAAACATCCACTCTTCATGCTTTAAGACTAAATCTAAAAAGAGTTTATTTCATTAACTGTGTATAATGACATTGTTTTCATATTTCATTGTATCATTCTAAATGACATTGAAAGAGACCAAGAAGATACACTGTAAGGCTTGAACAACCATAAATTTAATAGAATATTTATCTTTATAACAAAAGATCTAAAAACATCTCTATATTGTTGCACTAGCAGGAATAAAAAGTATTTCCTGTTAGTTCATCTATACACTTTATAATCAAAATACGATTGAGATTCTCTGTGCTACTTCGTGCAGCTCTATGCTTCACACTGAAGACTTGAGTTATAATGAGACAGAATGTGATAAATGTGCAACGAGTATAAATACAATTGCTAGACACTATATTTCCAGTCCAAATAGTGCAGAGGACAAATGATCCCATTTCATCCACACCATCCATAAATTCCTCTACTGAGCAAACTGAGAAGCAACTGAAAAACAAATTCCCACAGCTGACATGCCACAACCACGACTGCCAATCCAATGCGCAACTTTTAAGGCTCATGTAACGGGATATATCATTGGATATGGCTGCGTTTCAGAGTCTGCACACTGACTACAGCACAGAAAGCAGACCTGCTCACAGATAAATACTTTCTAACATTGGAGCGCTCCTGATTATTCTGGCAGGTGAATTAATGGACCCTGGATGATCTAATGAAATTTTCTAATTAAAAAGATATGATGTAGAACAAAATAAAACACCAAAAACAAAAAGAAATGCATGTGAAGGTCTGTAAAATGAAACTGTTCATTTGTTTATGTTATGCTGTGGCGTACTTAAGTTCCTCCAAGCACACAAATCATTAGATGTGTACATTATTGCTTGATGTTGTTTGTTTCAACCATTAAAGTCATGTGTAATGTAATGCACGTGTTACATTCAGTTTTTTACCAATAAATGGGGAAAATGGTCCAGTAAAGGTAAACTGTAGATATTAATGTTTTTTAAAGATCAGTTAACAGATTCTTGATTGGTTTCTTTGTTTTTAATTGGAAAAATAGAAGCAACATTATTTCTGTCAAACTTTTCAAACTCTTAAAGTCTACCTTAAGAGTCTTTTTGAATCCTTGATGTGAGCTAAAATAGCTTTCATTATAAATTCCCTAGGTCCCTTCATGTAACTACAGCCAGAAGGCTCTGCACTGTAGCTGTATGGATCCAACGCTGAGGTGAATTTTACGAACACAGCAGTGAGTTACGTACACAAAAACCTAAAATTAATTTGAAATACAATTTACAGACAGAGCAAAACATAATGAGGTATCAAAGCCCCCTGCTGCTTTTAATACTTCTCTACTCTAGCTCTGTTAAAGCTGTTTATCCTGGTTTGAACCTTTATCCTGCTGTGTCCTCATGTAAGCTGAGAGCAGTGATGCAGGTACTCAACCCCACTGTATTCTGCCTACTATCAGCTCTATTTTTATTTAACTTATGCAAATGGTTATATATTGACGATTTAAGCTTTTGCAATGGGGTGCAGAGAGAATAAATATTGTCTGATATGTCTTCATATTTTAGCTAAAATAAGAGCAATAAAAACATAGAGGCCTATGTGATGTGTTCTATGTAACAAAACCTCCACTTACTTTAAACTGATCATTTGTTGCAAGGGGTTGCAAATACCTACTTGCCTAAAAATCTTTACTGCACAAGTATCTTTTAATCAAGAATAAAGAGAGCCGATCCCTCCTAAATCTGTTGTTTAGGTTGATGTAGCTGTATCCCCTCTCTGGCCAGCCTACATCATCTTTGCTGTAATGGCTTTTTAAAGCTTTTTTCAATCTCATCATTCCATTGCCTGATTAATGATGTCAGTATCCATTGCTACATCTTGGATGTCAAATTAGTTGACCACATAAGCTTTCTTTGATCAAAGGGGCCCTAGTAACGAGGACAGTCACAATAAACAGCCGTGCTCAGATTGCCCGCTATCATGTTCCTAATATGTGCGTCTCTCAAAGATGTTTGGAAATGTAAGTGTGCAAATGTAAGGTAAAGACAGAGGTTCTTTGATACACCGAGGGTGAACTATGGCATGAGAAAGAACAAATAAAATGAAATGAAAAAAACCCTCATAAGAACTTCTACAGTGTGACACACCCTTAATAAGTGACTTCAACAATTTGACATTTTTACAAGATCAAGAGGGTTCTCCACAGATGAGCCAATTTCTTCAGTCGCCTGAGGCAAAAACATTGCTACATTTGAAGCAAATAAAAAGAGTACAACTTCTCACTGTGCAGCAATTTGATTCATCATGTACAATTGTTTAACAGCATGAAGTAATGCAGAGCTCTTCAACGCCAAAGGCCTTAAGAAACGCTTTTGATCAGACCTAGCTGTCTTCAACAAATCTAAATCCTTTTTCATAACAAGTCTAAAACGTTTACAGGTGAACGGGGAATCCCTTATATTCCAGCTCTGTCCTAAGACATATTCCTGTTGATACACTTTTTCTAACCACTCATCATATCATGTCTCCAAAAATTCCACTGTATACTATTCTAAATCACCCATTTATAAACATACAGAAATGTCAATAGACGGTGAGTTGAGGATAAGACCTGCTGCACCCATTAACAGCTTGTCCCAGATCTGCTTCAACAACACCAGAAATCCCCAGACATGAAACTTGAGATGGAACCTGCACTACACTGCGACCTTGCAACCAAAGGATCTGCATAAATACATATGACATCGTGCAAAGACTGACACTTCCTAATGGTAAGGCAGAGAGATCTATTATTAGACCAGTCATCGGTTATTCAGATAACCTTTCCAACTCCTGCTCTGTTTAGCAGCGTCCCAAAGGTGTCTTTGCAGCTGGGATGTGGTGTCAGTCATAACTCTCAGGCTGACAGGTGCGTGGAAAATTTCAAATCTCTCAAGTCTAATTTACACATCCTAAAATTAGCAAAGCAATAACATTGAGTTTCTTTTTGGAGTGGCAATACATGTTTCTACAGAGTAGGATATCAAAAATGATTTATTTTGTGATGAATAAGATTTAAAAAAAAATCCTTGTTTAGCCCTAGCATGTGGGATTTTCATAGCACCTACCACAGTTTATAGAAGTCCTGGAAAATGATACAATACAGTGATGCACATCAACCCATAATGAAATGATTAATGATCTGATTACATCAATACGGAATGAAACCATTGATCTACATCCTCATTTTTAAAGGGGTCATACTCAGGTATTTAATGTATATAATCATTTGGAAACTTTTTCTATATCTAAATTATCCATCCATCCATTTTCTGTCACGCTTATCACTGCTGGGGTCCAGCTGTCTATGGGCAGGAGGCGGGGTCCACCCTGGACAGGTAGCCAGCCCATCGCAGGGCAACACAGAGACAAAACAATCCCACTTTAAAATTTGTAGTTTTGTGAATTAAAGGGGAGTAGTTAATTTACTGCAGTCTAACTTTCTTTGTTTAACTGTTGCAAAGATTTTTTTTTTCTTTTTTTCTTTTTTATATGCATAAAACAAGCTGAACACTATGGCGATAGCCGTACTGCTCCTCTTGTGAAAGTAAAATCTGTTGGGCTCTTTTTGGCATCAAGCAATTTATTCTCAATGCCACATTGCCAGACAGGACACTGTTGGAAAAAAAAACTAAATAAATAACTGTTGCAAAGATTTGTCAGACGAGGTTGCAAAAACTTTCTTTTAAGTTTGGGAACTACTACAGGTCTACATCCATTATGTTGGATTGACATACAGGGAGATCACACAAGAATGTATTCTTTAGACAGAAACGATAGATTAATAAAACAGTAAAGAATTAAAAGCCCAAAATAAACTCCAGCAAAGAAAAGTCGATTTTTTTTTAGGTTAAGGCAAATTCCCACCAATAATCAAGCGAGAAAATAATCAAGTTAAACTGTGAGACAAAAACCACATACAGCGAGACCTTAGAAGAGAGAGAGCTGCTTGTGTTGAAGCTCCTAATAAGCAGCAGCAAACAAGCAGAAGGTCTCCCTCCAAACCCTGCATGGAAAGAGCACCCAAAACAAAACCGCCGTAAGAAAAGTAATAATTTAAACCAAAATGTAACTGTAAAAAACAAGGCCGGTTGAGAACCAAAAGACGGTGAAGGTTCCTTCAAACCTCACAGCTAGAGGCCTGGCATGAAAGGTGCCATTTTAGAGTCTCCTTTGACTCTCTCCACATAGTAAAAGAGAAGCCTCTCTTGTCCTAATGTCACAACATGCTGAGTTTGAGATACTCTGTATCTGCAAGTCTGCACTGCTAAGATAAGATTTCAGAAGATTTGGATTTTGCAAACAAATATTACAGAATGGTTCTGGTGTGAAGTAGAGGATGAATATGTGAAAATCACACCGGCCAACTGCTAAGTATGGTGGACGACCTGTCATGCCATGGGCCCTTTCCTCCTCTAGAGACCATGTGAGAGACCAAAGTCAATCGTATTTGTTAATAAATCAGATTGACTCTTGAAGAGCAGTAATTGTTGAAAGTACTGTAAATCTGCAGTCATATAAGTTATAAATTAAATGTTAACTCAGAAAATTTACTCTTGCTTATGCATTTTCAAATGTAGTATTACCTAATGCTATTTCCATTAGGTATTACTACTCAGAAACAACTTCTGCTTCTCTGAAGTCTGTTTGTTTGTGTGTTTAATTAAGCCACTGAGAATAGTACAATGTTCCGTGTTAACAAGGGAACAATATTGCTCCTCAGTAACATTCATTAGGAGTACAGGCTCCTCTGAATACACAGAACCCAGTATCAAAGGGAGAGAGGAAGAAAGTTAGGTGGCAAACAAATGTTCAAACCATACTGCAATAATACCACATTATAAGGAAAGCACAAAGATGAAAACCAAATGGCCGAATTAAAATCAGTATGGTTAATGAGCTGTTTTTAAATTGATTATATAAGTTTAATGGATTATGTTGTTCATTTGTTATCTGCTGATTTCTGTCTGTTCTATTTGAACATAAAGGGATCCCAGCCATTCTTTATGTCCAAATTAATTTTTGGTTAGGCAGAAACTTCCAAAAAAAGCATAAACTGTAAAGAAAGTTGGAGAATGGAAGAAAGCTTGAATGGTGATCTGTGCAGCTTCCCAGAATGAGAGAATGCTAGTTTTAGAGAGCTCTTTGTATTCTAACGACCTTAAGAAAAAAACAGGCTCCTGGTTTCTTTGCTATAAACCAGTGCTCTGATTTGCTGAATAAAAAATTAAATATGTTGGACAGCAACTACATGTATCTACACAGACAGGTGTTCAACAAGTGGGACATCTCATCTCACTAGTGAGTTTCACCTGATTGTTCTTAAAGTTTGGGTTCCTCTGGCTGGATGTTGGGACAACAGGTGGTGCAGGGGCCCGCCTCTTCTTGGACTCTGCTTTGGCATGCATTGTAGAAATATCAGTGAAGGACCGAGACTGCTCCAAGGAGCCAGAAGATCCCTCTACATAGGAGACCCCTGACACGGTGGAAATCCCCTGTGGATAACATGAAGATTGAAAGGAGTTAAGTTATAAAATAATAATATAAAGTACACGTGCATATGTGAGATAAACACAATGGCTTTAGGTTCTATGTAATATCTTTCTCTAAAATCTAAAATATTGAGCAATTTGCATTAAAATTTGGACCTCTGTGAGAAAAAATCTATTGTTTTCACTTTAACATTTTTGAGTTTAACAAACATAATGTTCTCCAGTGATGATTTTATTATAATGAGGTGTGACACATTTTATTCAAACATGTTACCCAAAGAAACATCCTGTCGGTTAATAACTCTCATACTTACTGACATGTCTTGCCCATTGGGAGTATAAACTTGTCTAAATCTGTCTAACCAGGGATCAAAAAACATACAGATTCTCTGAAACATAAAGAGCGCAGCAGTATAAGTTATTATTTGGTTCTTACCAATATCAAAGCATTTATTTGCTCAAGCTGAAAGTGCAAACCTACTTTCAAAGGATGGCTACTCTTGACTGAACGCACTTTAACAAAAAAGGGATGTGTGATCAAAGAGAGGCCTGAGTGCTCTTGAAAATCTGAGCCTCCCTGTGGCTCAGCGAGGAACAGAGCCTTGGCGCAACAGGGGCACCACACAATGATGTGCAGCTCCACGATCCAAGCAGAATATAAAAAAAGCAAATCAACCAAGAGTCTCGAATAATGCTTGAATGCAATATAAAAGGACAAGAAAGGACATTTAGCTTTGATCATTTAGCATTAACAATGCCCAAGGTCACAACATACAAAGATCTGGAAAGAAACAACAGCTAAAATATATCAGAAAGTTGCAATAAAAGATTTAAAGGCGCGGAAGAAATGGTTTCCATCTAATGAAGGCCAAGAAGCATAAGTTCAAACAAACAAGCTTAGACAACAACCGTAACACACTAGTAGTATTTGTGTTTTGTTACAATAACTAATATAACACATTTTTCAATACACAAATCCACAAATAAATGTCAACAAAGTCCAAACCAAAACTGCAAGAAGAAAAGGGTAAAATACTAAAATGAAATGCTACAACTCTTGGTTGACTGAAGAGTTGCTGTGTCTGTGGTATGATAGGTTCACAGGATGACAGGAATAAGAGAACGGCAGAAGGACGTGTGGCTGTTAGCAAACTGAGGGTGATGGAAACAAAAAAGGGATGCTGGAGGGGAAGCAGACGTGATTTGGATTCCCCCAAAAAAGAACAAGTTTCAAGTAAAAAAAAATAAAAAAAATAATCTTCAAAGGAAGAAATCCACATGAACTCTATCTGACTTCTTCACCTGCTCACTCTCACTCCTTCGACCCAGTTAGAAATATCAAAACTGCAAGTGGATAATATAGATCAAAATGTTCTCTGACACTTAGGAGGGGAATCCAAGTCAGCAATGTTTTTATAATAATGTGAGAAACATAAAAGAGAACCTGGAGAAAATCTGCATAATTATTAGTATCATTCACATCCTGCAGTTTTTAACAGTGCATTTAACTCAGGGGTACAGGTAGAACAGATAAGGAAAATTCAAAATAATGCATTACTTGAAGCATTTGACTGCTTATGGTGACAATAATAGCCTGCTAAACCTGCTGTGATTTAAACTTGGAATACTTTTCATTCTGCAAGTACCTAAAAGTCAGTGTTGTTAAAATTAAAGGATGGAAGGATTTCTCCTCTGGCTGAATCTTTCAAGTCTATTTCAACCAAGATCACTGATTGGGGGGTGGAGGGGTTGTGCAATTTTTTATAGACCTCAGAAATGAATAACTGAAAGAATGTTTGAGGGAGGCATATCAAAATCTTCTTTAAAGACCTCGGCGGGGTTGGCAGAGTGCAGAGGGAAAAGAAAGATTTTGCAGTAAAGTTCATACAGAGTTTATGGCATAAGGGGATTTAGAGCTTAAGCATTCTGAAAGGAAATGTATGAATCAGTAATGTATTTCTAAACAAGAATAAGAAACAACTAAGACCTAGTAAAATAGTGAGTTAAGTATTCATCATCAGCTTTTTCCTCGTAATTTCACCTTAAAAACTTAAATGTATTTTATCTCGACCAATACATGATTAGACTTGATTCTGAAGAGGATATGATTATCGGATTACTAAAGATTGTCTGGGCTGCTCAGTGGCGCAGTGGGTAGTACTGCTGTCTTGCAGCAAGAAGGTTCTGGGTTCAATTCCCAGGGGTCTTTCTGCATGGAGTTTGCATGTTCTCCCTGAGCATGTGTTGGTTCTCTCTGGGTACTCTGGCTTCCTCCCACAGTCCAAAAACATGACTGTTAGGTTAATTGGCTTCTCTAAAAAAGTCCCCTTAGGTTTGAGTGTGTGTGTGAATGGTTGTATGTCCTGTGTGTCTGTGTTGCCCTGCGATTGACTGGTGACCTTTCCAGGGTACCCTGCCTCTTAACTGCAGACAGCTGGAGATAGGCACCTGCACCCCTTGCAACACTTGAGATAAGCGTGTAAGAAAATGGATGGATGGATAAATATTGTCTATCTTTGTATTTTTAGACATCAGTATAGTCACACCTATTCTGCCAAGTCCTCATTAAATAGAACACAAAGACATCAAGTGTATGGATCAGTTACATTGCCATCCACTTAAAATGACAAGGAAGCGTTAATCGGACAAGTTATTAGGAGGACTACGGTAACTTTGGGGGAACTGTAGACCTCTAGAGCTAGAATTGCACAGTCTACTGACAGTGGCATGAAGAAACCCTTTGGTAAAAGAAAGTATGGTAGGCAAATGGATAGTGGAAGGAGATGTGCTGGTCAAATGAGATGGAAACTGAACAGTATACAAGCAAAGAAAAAGTAACACTGCCCATTAGTGGTGGCGGTATCATGCTGTGGGGTCTTTTTCTTCAGCTAGGCCTGGAAGCTTATGAGATAAGAGTTGATGGGACAAACGATGGAGTAAAATGCCAGTCAGTGCAAGAAGTAAACCACAAAGTTTGACAGACATTTGAGACTAAAATTAAGGTTAACATTCTCAGTTATTGTGTCCTTGATGAGAGGGTGGTGCCTGTGTACAGCAGCCTCACTAAGGTCAGTGTGGCCCAGGGCAGCTGTGGCCTCAAAGTAGCTTGCCACAATCAGTGTGTTAATGTGTGCATAAATGAGTCGGTGTAGTAAGTGCTTGGAGTCTCCTGACTTGAAAGGTATAATATACTCTATAAGTACAGGGCAATTACCATTTAAATGCCTTCTTGTTAATAATTTATTGGGAAGTTCAAGTTTTACAACAATCAGAGTACAACTCATAAAAGCTTTTTGAACATCTCCACTGAAATTGAGTCACCTTTGACCCCTTTAAACATAATCTGAGATTTGTATCTTTTATTAATAGTTGGTATTGGTATAACTGGAACTTTGAAGACGTTTAGACGTGACCTTATATCTTTGGCTTCTTACTTAGGGTAATTGTCGGACTGAGGTGTCATGTAACAAAGTACAAATATTCGTTTCTGTACTTAGGTACACTTTTTAGGTATCAATACTTTACTCCATTACTTTTCTTTCTACTACTGACTTCTACTCATTACATTTTCACACAAGTATCTGTACTTTCTATTCCTTAAATTTTTAAAACAAACGTTACTCGTTACTCTTAGCTTCGGTTTAATGTTTATAAATATTTATTTCATGTCATGTGCGCCATCCAATGCAGATCATTGGATGGCGCACCGGAACAGAAGGGGTAGAGCGGGCTTGTCATCCACGTGCCCGACTGGAGTTGTGACAAGCAGCCCGAGCCACAGGCGGCTACGCTCTACCCCTTCTATTCATTCGGCTAGCTAATCTGAATCGTTCAATTCCATTTCGAGAGCGAGATAATTTGTGGTACAGTAGTAGCACTAGACATCTTCCAGGCATGTGAGTAAAACTAGCAGCAGTTCAGCAGACAGGAAGAATGAACGGTAGCCGGCGTGCATGGATGATGTCATACACACTTGACTTTGTTTAAAAAAAAATTGAAATATAAAAAAATATAACCGCGGATGTCTGGGGGACAGTGATTGGCCTACATGTTATAAATGCTGGCGTACCATAAAGAATCAATTATAAACAGCTTAGTTTGTGCCTTCAAGTTGTTGCCCAAAGGAAGACGTTACTTGGATATAACCTAACGGAATATCTTCAGAACATCTCCAAATGACACAAAACTCATATGGGTGAGTAGAACATGATGTAATAACGTAAATCAAGGGCCCAATGTAAAAAAAAATGGCGTTCCTCTTTAAGTAACAAATGTGTGTACTTTTGACACCACTGCTGTCAGATGTATTAAAGCAGCATGGGTTATTTCAGGGAAATGTAGAAACTTCACATTTCTCCCTCGTTCTTTCAATTAACAGTTGAAAAACATAAAATGTTGCTCAGATATTTTTCTATGGTACACTATTGTGTAATATTTTGGGCCAAACATCTGTTATCCTGCTATTTTAAGTCAAAATACTACGAAATACATGGGGTACAGTAAGCTCTGGGTTCAAAGAGATAACAAAGGTCAATTAGAAAGCATATTTTTGTGTAAGAAGGGTCCAGTCAAAATGATCAAATAGTTTTTTTAATAATTAACTTCATATTAGTTTCAGTTTGAGCCAGAATTATTGACACAATGATTTTTGAAATGTCAGCACTTTCCAGGACCACACACTCTTCCCCTGACCTACACAGTAGTTTAGTCCTTAATGAACAATTACAGATAAGAGGCTTGGCTTTTAGTGCTAATGTAGCCAAGGTATTGTAATCTGATGCCTTCAAGCTGATAACACTGAGTATATGTGTGTATGAGTGAGAAATCTTTGGAGAACAGATGCATGTGTGTGGTCTGATAACGTACAGCGGATGAAAAAGCAATCATTTCGGAGGCGAAAGCCGAGCTGTATTATAGCCAGATAATAACAACGATAAGGCTGACAATGAGAACACAAATAAAAACCTTAGCTGCCACAGCCTTAGATACAAGTTGTTGTTCTGATTATATCTTAAAAATCTACGTCTGGTAGTTTGTCCATGCACTCTTTTTTCCACGCTTTCTAACAATCTATTGAAAATTTTACTTATAGGATATATATTCAGAAGAACTAAAACAGTTAAACAACTCAGACAGTGGTCAGTGTTAGTGATATGACAGAAAATAGGAGGGTTGAGTCAAACCAGCAGCTTTTTAACAGAGTGAGACGGTAAAATGAAGAGCAGAGAGCTGGCCAGTGTTTCTCCGCCTAATACGATTGACTCCCTTCTTGATTAAGTTATAGATCTAACAAGCAGAACCCAGCAGCTGAGTGTGAGTGTGTATTACCAAGGCCTGCTTAAAAGCAGGTTCTTAATGTTGAAACCTGAAATAATCCATTGTTAACAAATCTATCAAAGATGCTTATTTTATGACATTTTATGAGCTCAACCTTGACTCTCTGATTAGTTAAGGTGCATTAACCTTCCGCATACTTTTTATTAATAGCAACCTGGTCTACCTGTTGGCAAGACGTTCCCTTTTTCCACTTATTATTAAGGGTTTGCTTTTAAAGCAGGCTGCATTGTCAGTGGGGATGCTGAAAAAATGCAGGGAGAGCTGCTGCCCTCTAGAGAACAAATGGCAAAACAACAACACCAAAATAATGGCCATTTATTAAAGCTTTGATGACCAACTTTTTACAGATCCAGAGCTAAACTAGAATAAAGATGTAATGCAAATCTTCTTATTAACCCTCAACTAAAGGACATTTGAGCCAAAATGTTTTTTTTTAACATGCATTAGTTTTCATTACATCTTATATAAATAAACAGTGTAACATTTTTCACTTTAGTAAAGTAAAAAAAGAATTCTGAATGTTTCAGACATTAATGTATACATGCTTTTATCCTTACATGATGCTGTTTGCAACATGCTGCAAACAGTCCTTTACTGATTAGATTGAAAGTAAAATACATTTTAACTTGCTATACAGAAAGGACAAAATGAACCTCATAACCTGAAGTTCTAATAGGTATGCTGCAGCTAAAATCCTAAAATCCAGAAGGTTAGATGAGTAATTTAACTGATTGAGGCAGACCTTAAGTCTATATGTGTGGAATAAACATTATGTCATTGATCTTTTTATTGCAGATACTTACTTTGGATTTTGTGTCTGAGTTTTGAATTGCATTTTCATCAAAGTCTTCCATGTCCATATCATTTCTGTCACTCTGTAATAGATGGGAAAATACACATGCAGCATTCAAAGTCACACACATGCATTTAGTAATTCTCAAAGTATTTTCTCCAGTTGCTTTCTAGAAGTTAGTCAATCTATTTCACAATCCAATATTTTAAAGTAATCTTTCACAACATAATATCCTTTCTGATTGTGATACGTTTTAGAAAACAGCCTCATGCAGTTAACATTAAACAAAACACCTATGCTCTGTTTGATACGACCAGAGAGAAAATATTTTTTTCTATAATAAAGAAGCAGATACCTTGTGTCTGACTTAAAGTATGACATGACAGAGAGTGTTTTAGGAAATTATTTAATTCACAACATCTTGACAACATGTTTGACATCTTAAATCTTACCTTTGATTTCCTTTTGCTGAATGAGAAGATATTTAACAGTCCTTTCTTTTGTGGTCTTCCTAAACTAGCAGTACTGGAATACATAGGATCTATAAAAATGACAGAGAAAAGTCACATAAAATAGTTAGATGTGGTATAGGTAATGAGTCATATCAGAAAGAGATTTGGAATGGGAGGTTTGGAATTGGGGGGGGGGTCAAAGGTAATTCTGAAACACTTCGAAGTGTTTCGGAATTACCTTAACCCATAATTAATATCTTAGTCTTAGATATTAATTAGGTGAAAAGCATATGATATGGAGACAAAAAATATATATCTGAATGCTTTTTCACTGTTCAATAAAATTGCATTTAATAAATTAATTAATTATTAAATAAATTATGATTAAAAAATGCTTTATTTCATCTATTCTGTAACCATTTATCATATATATTTCAAGCATAATCTATTTAAAAAAACACCTTTCCTTATTTCCAGCAGAGGGCACCACAGCTTAATCATTTCCTACCAACTTTGTTGAAGGAGCAATAAGTAATACTGAAGCCTAGAGCTTCAGATAGGAGCACATGAAACCCATAGCCCCCCATGTGCCGTAGGTTGTCAAATCAAGAGAGACAAAGATGTAGTGCAGCTGAATTTAAGATGCTGAGTGAAGATGATTCAGTCACAGCAAGTTAATGTGCAATTTTTTCTAAAGGAAGCTGAGACTTCTGAGCTGTTAAGGCTATTTGTGGTCCACTTCTCTCTCTGGTTTCCATGTTTGCAGCCTGCTCCTCTTTGCCAGCATAAAGCGGCACTCTGTTTTTGGCAGCCCCGGGAACTCTTATGTATTTGGCTTAGGAGCCGGGAAGTGAACATGGGCTACACACTGCACTGGGGTTCCAGATAGTACATCTAGGGTTAAACGGAGAAAAACTGGACTAAGAGTATTGGCTTTTTACAGGGAGTGTAATTATTTCCATCCTCAGTGACAAATCAGAACAATTTACATTATGGTAAATGCAGCAAATTTCTTACTTATTGCTCCTTTACGTTATGTTCTTCTAAAATATTCTAAAATAATTGTTGTGCAGCACTGATGTGATTTTGACCATTACATAAGCAAATTGAATAGAGTTAATTGCAAGTTATTCAGAAATCAACAGTTTTAATTAGGTTCACACATAAATAAACAAATATTAACCATAGGATTACTACTGGCAGCCCACTAAGCTTGTTAATGGCAATAACCAGACTTTGTTAATGAAGAAGCAGCAGTAGAATGTGTTAAATAGCCACTGGGGGTTAGTATAAACAACAGTAGCACTAACGACATGGAGGACTGGTACCTGAGTTGTTCAGGGCAGGGGCAGAAGCCATTTTAGGCTGTAAAACTGAAAAAAGATTCACAAACAAACTGAGTCATTAATACATAACCTGCATTACCTGCCTTACCTGGTGAATATGTTGTTCTCTGTGAAAACAAAATGCTTGCAAGCAAACTAAATGATATTGGAGATAACTTAGAAAATTTTATATATATATATATATATATATATATATATATATATATATATA